TCCCCCAATGTCTTATGTCCACTGGTTATGCTTATATGCATGCATACAAGTCCTTTAGTTGATCTCTTACCCCCCTACCTCCTGCCCCGCAACCCTCCCCGGCCTTCCTGCTGCAGTTTGACAATCTGTTTGAGGCAGCTCTGCCTCTGTATCTATTATTGTTCAAAAGTTTATAATGGTCTCTATTATCCATGAATGAGTGAGATCATGTGGTATTTTTCCTTCATTGACTGGCTTATTTCACTTAAAAAGATTCCCAAGTGATTCTAATGTGCAGCCAAGGTTGAGAACCACTGCATTATGCTCTCCTGCCAGCTAAAAAGGAAAGTGCCTGTAACAAAGTAAGGAGCTGTCACATCTGTCTGACATAATTGTTTTTATTTTCTAAATAAGGGCTCATTATTACATTATTTCACTAGCCATAATGTAATTACAGTCCATTTTAATGTTGCTAATGATTTTCAGTATCTCCTTAAATTATATTACTTCTCTGAAAACTGAGGCCTTAATCCATTGACAAGTTGTTAGAATTGCCCTTTAACTTTTCAATTATCAGCCATTCCACCTGGGATCTTTCATCAGCTTCTGGTGATGGCTGGAGCTTTGCAAGTGCCCCCCCTCCCCCGCCCCCCGCCCCAAGGTCATTGTCTAATTCTCTTAGGGTCCTGATTGTACTCCAGGCAGCATTCTTATATTACCCATGCTTACTGTGTATTTCTAGTATTTTTCTCTTGGCTTTCTACTGAGTTATATTGATTTTTGTCTTCATTAATTCCTCCCATCACTGCCAATTTTCATCCTTTGTTCAACATCTTTTTGAAAGTGTTATTCAATAGGCTTATTCTAGAGTTGTTGGTTTCTCATTCCTAATTTACTTCTTGTTATTTTTTTTCTTGTAATTATAAGGCTTATTGTATTTTCTCTAATTTTCATCTTCCCTCCCTCACCTTCTGTAGTTATTTTGTTCCTTCTCTGAGGATTATTTTTCTGTTTTTTTCCATCTCGTTGTCCTCAGTTCTGTCCCAGGCTGTTAGGGATCTGGGTTGAGGTACGGTGGAGCAGAGCCCGGGCCAGCTGCCCGGGGAACCCACAGAGCCTGGGTTTATATAATTACTCAGGGTTACTGCCGATTTATTCTCTTCCTACCTGTCTCAGCCCCCCTGCCAGCTCCAAGCAAGGCTTTTCCCCAGTGCCTGCAAGTCGGCCAGGAAAGGGACAAGCAGTGTCCACAGCATCAGGGATGCATGGTTGGCCTCCGTGGCCCCTGGTTTCATAAAAGAGTAATGGGCTCCATTCATTGTTAGACATACTGGGCCTTTAACCAGGCATCCAGTAGTTATTGCCTCGGACCTTACACCCACCCTGCAAGGTGAATGATGATTTATGTTTGATGGCCGACGAGGAAACTGATGCTCCGAGAGATTAGGAGTCGGGCTAAAGAGCACACAGTTTGTATGTGGGTGCGGTGGGGATTTCACCCCCTGTGAGTGTGGCTGCACAATCTGTAGTTTCTACCCCAGCATTTCCTCTCTGCCAAAATGAACTTGATACTTGAGCATTTGGATTAGATCCTTCCTGTCCTCATTAGAGGGTGTCTTAGGTACTGTTGCATCATGCTCCCCAGTGTTACTCATTTCTCCCTATTTGATTCATTAATAATCCCACAACATTGTTTCCTTTGTTCATTGTATTCGAATCAAGTAACTGGCGAGTCTTGTTCCCAGCTGCCTGTCACAGTGAGAGCAGGCCTACATGAAGGTGTTACTCTGATCTAATATAAAATCAAGGTTATTGATTATTTTCCTTGTAATGAATTCAGCTTTGCTGCTTACAGGGTTTTTACATGGATCCTTTCCTTTTATTGATACTGGTGTTTTTATTCTTAGACCTGTGTCTTGCCTATACGGAGTGTTCTGTTATTAATATAGGGCTGGTTGCAGGTTGGAATGAGACCTTGATAGATTTAGGATATGTCTTAGTTTTATAAAATAGTCATAATGGTTTTTAATCTGCAATACAAGCTCTTAGATTAGATGCCTGAGGTTGTTTTACTTGTGTAATTATAGTTTAGGATAAGTTTTGGCTTTATGAGTATCAGAGGGGTTGTGGCCTGTCTTCAAGGTATATTTTTTCTGACTATGAAATGAAAATATATTAATTGTGGAAAATGTAGAAATATACAAAGAATAAAATAACAACCTGTAATCCCAATTTCTAGTGATGAATGCTGTTGGCCATTTTGGCATTTTTTTTTAAAAATATATTTTATTGATTTTTTTACAGAGAGGAAGGGAGAGAGATAGAGAGTTAGAAACATCGATCAGCTGCCTCCTGCACATCTCCCACTGGGATATGCCCGCAACCAAGGTACATGCCCTTGACCGGAACCGAACCCGGGACCCTTCAGTCCGCAGGCCGACGCTCTATCCACTGAGCCAAACCGGTTTCGGCTTGGCATTTTTTTTTTTTTTATTAGTGTATGTGTGTGTCTGTTTGTATGTGCATGTTATCATACCTTACATCCCAACACATACAGTTTTGTATTCTCCTTTCTCATTTAATGTAGATCATAATAAATTCTCCATCATGAAAAAGTTTTCATGAGCCTAATTTTAAAGGCAATACAATATTTCATAGTATGTGCATGCTATAACTTACTAATCATTCCCCAGTGTTAGGACTTTAAATTGTCTCCAGCTTTATGTGTATATCTTTTAAAAATATATATTTTTTGCCGAAACCGGTTTGGCTCAGTGGATAGAGCGTTGGCCTGCGGACTGAAAGGTCCCAGGTTCGATTCCGGTCAAGGGCATGTGCCTGGGTTGCGGACACTTCCCCAGTGGGGGGTGTGCAGGAGGCAGCTGATCGATGTTTCTCTCTCATCGATGTTTCTAACTCTCTATCTCTCTCCCTTCCTCTCTGTAAAAAAATCAATAAAATATATTTAAAAATATATATATATATATATTTTAATTGATTTCAGAGAGGAAGGGAGAGGGAGAGAGTGATAGAAACATCAATGATGAGAGAGAATCATTGATCAGCTTCCTCCTGCATGGCCCCAACTGGGGATCCAACACTCAACCTGGGCATGTTCCCTGACCGGGAATCGAACCGTGACCTCCTGGTTCATAGGTCGATGGTCAACCATTGCGCCACACAGACTGGGTAATAATTACTCTTCATAAACAGGAAGCAGCTAAGTCTGGCACATAGGAAACAAGTATTTGCAAAGTGAAGTTTCATAGGTCAGCGCTCAACCACCTGAGCCTTGCTGGCTAGACTATGTGGGTATCTTAGTGCATCCATCTTTGTCCAGATTTATGATTATTTCATTTAGACTGATCCTCTAAGTGAAATTAATAGGTTAAAAAGTTTGGCCACTTTAAAGATACATGATACATAATGCTTGCCAAATTATTTACCAGAGTGAATTTCCATTCCAGCCAGCTGTAGGTGGGAAGCTGGGACTCATTACTCCCAACTGGCATTGTGTGTTTGCGTGGCTAATTTGATAACCAAAAACTAATGATGCTGTTTCAATTTGCATTTCTTTTATTACCAGTGAGGTTGAAAATTTAAAATCTGTATATTAATATTTTTACTCCTTAAAAAGCCCTTCTTCTTTTCATCGATTAAAGTCTAGTATATTTTTTACAGTTTATAAGGGCTCTTTGTATGTTAAGGATATTGATGCTTTCTCCAATATATTTGTTGAAAATGTTTTCCTAATTAGTAGTTGGCTTTTATTTTTTAATAAATTTTTGATGTTTACATGTGTTTAATTTACTAAATTTATTTGTCATTTTAATTTACTAAATAACATATTATAATATACAATTTATTATGTAAAAATAAATTTATTAATTTAATATACTGCTTTTAATTGTTAAGTTTTTCATTATATCTTTCGTGTGTGTGCATGATTTCTGCCATAGGTTGAGAACGTCTTTCTCCATAAAGAAAGAAGAGAAATATATTTAACTGCATATTTTTCTAACTCCTCTAATATAATTTTAAAATTTTACCTTTGTGATTTATTTGGAATTTATTTTAGAGTATATTTTGAGATTAAAAATATCTAATTTGATTTCCCCCTCTAGATAATCAGTTGACTCAGCAATAGTTTTGTTGAATAAGCCACCATAAACTTTTGTCATTACTTCATCATGTATTCATGTTTTATATATCTTAGAGTCTGTCATAGGTTATTTTTTGAGAGGTTGTATTTCTTCTTACAGGTATTATCTAGAACAGGGGTGGGCAAACTTTTTGACTCGAGGGCCACATGGATTCTTAAACTGGACCGGAGGGCCGGAACAAAAGCATGGATGGAGTGTTTGTGTGAACTAATATAAATTCAAAGTAAACATCATTACATAAAAGGGTATGGTCTTTTTTTTCCATAGTTTTATTCATTTCAAACGGGCCGGATGCGGCCCGCGGGCCATAGTTTGCCGACGGCTGGCCTAGAACTTACCTAATTTAGCCTTTTAATTTTTAAAGTATAAATTATGGAATCATTTTGCCAAATTCTTTTTCCTCTATCTCTCCTAAGCTCTGCCCTCCTTCCCTAAAGCAAAACCAACAAAACAAAAACCCAAAAGGAAGCACAGACAGCTCTGATAGAGCGATTGGAATTGTGTGAAACCAATAAAATGGTTTAGGCAGAACTGTACTCTTTTAGCACCTTTTTTAAAAAAGCACTTTCCTTTTAAGCAAAAGCTTCTTAATGTTCTGTATTTGCTTAATCAGTAATTTTGTCTGTTCAGAGGTGGTTGCCATGCATCGACGTTTAAGCATCAAAGATGTTCCAAGGCAGACTGTGTGATGATAGCCTGCAAATGGCCAATGTGGCCAAATGCTGCTCTATAATGGCTCTCGAGCTAGAATGTTTTTTTACGCCTTTAAAGGGTTGTAAAATAAACCCAATAAGAATATGTGATGGAAACCTATGTGACCCACAAAGCTTAAAATATTTACTATCTGGTTCTTTACAGATAAAGTTTTCTGGGGGCACCACACAGCAAAACACTGGCAAGCAAACAGGAGACACGCAGACTTCACATGGTAATTGTGAGTCATAGCTTTCACTCATGTACCACCTCTTCAGCACATTGACTGGGGAAGGGTTGTTTTTTTGTTTGTTTGTTTTGTTTTTAATGCATTTAAGATAACCTTATGTGAGAATATGAGTGAATGCTTATAGGTATTGTTTCTTTCTTCCCTTGTTTTTGCCTTATATTTTTTAAATTTATCTTTATTGTTGAAAGTATTACAGATGTTCACCCTTTTGTTTTCCCATTGGCCCCCTCCACACCACCCCTGCTCCTCCCAGGCCTTCACTACAATATTGTCTGTGTCCATGGGCTCTGCATTTATGCATATAAGTTCCCCGGTTAATCTCTCCCAACCCCACCCACCCTCGCCTTCCCTGAGATTCTTCAGTCTATTCCATGCTTCTATGTCTCTGGATCTATTTTGTTTATCAGTTTATTTTGTTCATTAGGTTCCACATATGAGTGAGATTATGTGATACTTACTTTCTCTGACTGGCTTATTTCACTTAGCATAATGCTCTCCAGTCCCTCCATACTGCCTCAAAGGGTATGAGATTCTTCGTTTTTACAGTTGCATAGTAAGTGGTGAAAGAGGACATCCCTGTCTTGTTCCTATTCCTAGGGGATTTTAGTTTTTGCCCATTGAGTATGATGTTGGCCTTTATTATGTTGAGGTATGATTCTTCTATTCCCACTTTGCTGGCTTTTTATAAAAAAATGGGTATTGGGTTTTGTCAAAGGTTTTTTCTCTGTCAATTGATAGGATCATGCGATTTTTGTTTTCCAATTTGTTGATTTTCGGATATTGTACCTGCCTTGCATCCCTGGAATAAATCCCACTTGGTCATGGTGTATGATCTTTTTAATGTATTGCTGGCTCTGATTTGCTAATATTTTGCTGAGGATTTTAGCATCTATGTTCATCAGGGATATTGGCCTGTAATTCCCTTTCTTTGTAGTGTCTTTATCTGGTTTTGGAATTAGGCTAATGCTGGCCTCATAAAAAGAGCTTGGAGGTGTTCCTTCCTCTTGGATTTTTTGGAATAGTTTGAGGAGTATGGGTGTTAGTTCTTCTTTGAATGTTTGGTAAAACTCTCCTGTGAAGCCAGCTGGGCTTTTGTTTACTGGGAGTTTTTTTAATTGCTACTTCAGTTTCATCAGTTGTTATCTGCCTATTCAGGTTTTCTTATTCTTCCTGATTTAGTTTTGGAAGGTTGTATTTTTCTAGGAATATGTCCATTTTGTCCAGGTTGCCCAGCTTGTTGGAATATAGTTGTTCATAGTATTTTTTTCTGATTCGTTGTGTTTCTGTGGGGTCAGTTGTTACCTCACCTCTTTTGTTTCTGATTTTGTTAATTTAGGCCCTCTCTCTTTGTTTTTAATGAGTCTGGCTAAAGGTTCATTAATCTTATTTGTCTTTTCAAAGAACCAGCTCTTGGTTTCATTTATGATATATATATATATATATATATATATATATATATATATATATATATATATATTAATCTCTATGTCATTTATTTTCTCTCTAATGTTTCTTATTTCCTTCCTGCTACTTTGGGCTTTTCTTGTTGCTGTCTTTCTAGTTCTTTTAGTTGTAGAGTTAGATAGTTTATTCAAAGTTTTTCTTGTTTTTTGAGGCCTATAATGCTATGAATGTCCCTCTCAGGACTGCTTTCACTGTGTTCCACTGATTTTGGGTTGTTGTGTGTTCATTTTCATTTGTTTCCAGGAAGTTTTTTTATTTCTTCCTTGATCTCTTTGGTAATCTATTCATTATTTAGTAACATGCTATTTAGCGTCCATGTGTTTGGATGTGTTTGAGTGTTTTTACTGTAGTTGATCTCTAATTTCATGCCCTCGGCTGGGCAGAGATCCTTGTGTGCAGTCCAATGGGATCAGCTGGGAAGCTGGAGTTTCTATCAGCTCTCCCATGTGGGGAAAGCCCCAGTCAGGTTCCTGGGATAGTGGGAGGGATGGCTCCATCCCCATTCCAGTCACTGTCACTTCCTGAAACTGTTCTAACCCATAGGCTTGGGCTCTGCTGATGTCTCCTCTGATGAGGTCAAATACAGGGTGTGGCAGGCAGGCTCCTGAGGGTGGGGCAGGCTGTATCACCCAGGGCGGGTTTTTTTCCTTTTCTCTGAGCTGTGGCTTCTGGGAGTGGTGACCTCCTCTCAGAAAAAATGGCCATTTTGGTTTGGGAGGATACCATCAAATGTAGGACTCCTGACTGTTGCTTTTCCATGTCTCCCCGCAATGCTTCCCATTCAGCCTCTCCTTAGGCACCTCAAGTCTGCATCGCCCTCCCTGCACCAAAGCCTCAGGTGAGTAGCTGCAAATTAAACTCCTGTGCCCTGGGTTACACACACACACACACACACACACACACACTCTCTCTCTCTCTCTCTCTCTCTCTCTCTCTCTCTCTCTCTCTCTTTCACACACACACTCTCTCTCTCTCTCTCTCTCTCTCTCTCTCTCTCTCTCTCTCTCTTTCACACACACACACACACACACACACACACACACACACACACAGGCGTGTGCGCGCGCGCTCCCACTCTCACACACAAACTGAGGCTTTCTCTCTGACCAGTTCCAGTCTATTGGTGCCAGACTCCCTAGTGGCCAGCTGCCACCTTTGGCAGCTGGATGTTACGTGGTCTGCGGGCCTTGGGACTCGTTCCGGACCTCAGCCTGGGTTCCAGACCTCGACCTTCTAAGGGAACAGTCACTCCTGTAGCTGAGAGATCCCTCCTCACTCTCCACCTGCCACCCCTGGAAGCTGGGTCAGCTCCTCTCGAGACCTCGCCCTGCCTATCGGTCTCCAGTTTTTTTCTTCCTTCCTCGCTATGTCTCCAGCTCAGCTGAGCCTCAGTTGATAATTCTGGGTGTATGTTCCCCACTTCAGTTTTATTCCCAGTCTAGGTCTGGGAGAGGGTGCAAGAAAGATCTGCCTATTTGGCTGCCATTTTCTCCCATCGTCTATTTATACATTTTAAAAAATGCCTTGAGCATGTGTTGTGAAACTAAAAACAAACAGACCATGTACTTATTTTTGAAAGGTCTGCTTGTGGGAACATCTCATTTTAATGGCCTATCCCCTGAGGTGGGGCTGGTGTGGACAGAACTGTCCATGCAGGAATACTTGAAGGACTCCAAGTGGAGTCCCAGGCTGGCCCCAGTGCTCCAAACCTTAGCAGCCGTACTGTTTTGTAGACATCTTCTTAACAGATTAAGGCATTTTGTTAATCTGCAGTGGTTGGGTTTACTATCTGATTAACTCCTGTTAACCTAAAAATAAAAAGCCAAAATCAGAGGCAATAAGTACTTACCTGATAAAAATAAATTGCAGTTCTGGAAACACCGATTCAGACCGAAACCCAAATGGTGTCCTGAATACAGGGTGAAGGCAAGGAGTTTATGAGAACAGGAAGGGAAATGATGACACGAGTAGAAGAAATTTCTGTTGGTGCTAACAAGTTGAATTATTCTGTAGCTAAACATGGCTGATGACTGACTCTGTCTTCAGAAAGAATCCATAATCATCAGTCCTTGTGGTCAGAATATCTGCTTTCCTGTTAGCTTTGCAAACAGCTGTTTAAAGACAGTGTTGCTTTGGTCCAGGCCAAAGGTTTTTTGCCCAGTTAAAACATTCCAAAGGTTCAAGGAATTCCTCTGGAATGGCTGCTCTGGTTCCATTTAAAAATGGCTCCACTTATGTCATTCTTCACACTCCCATCTACTATCACTGGCGAAACCCCAGACTCCCCTGGGGTGGGTCATGGAGTGTGTCTAGCAGGCTGACTTCAGGAAGCAGCACGGCGGGGGCATTTGGGTTTTCTGAAGGAGCTTGAAGACATTTGCAAGGTCTTGGGAGGAGATGTGAGGAAGGGAATAATGGTTGGAAAAAGAGCCGTGCAGGACCTACAGGTCACTGTTACTGGTGAGCCAGGTAAATTCTGAAAGGAGACAGGAAAACCTTGAGGAAGGAGAGACTTCAGATAGATGAGCCAGAAAAATGACACTGATTCTGCCTCTGTTCCAGATGTTCCCATCGTTGCTGAAGAAAGGGCAGGAGAGGATCAGGCGGGAGACCTGGTGTCATATTTACGCAGACTGAGTCTGTCAGGGTGGGTGCAAGCTTAATGGGTTTCATTAGGGTTTCTTTCTTATTTCTTGGAAAATATAATTGTTTAAGCATTGAATCCAGCTTTTTGGATAATCTGAAGGGGTACACAACCAAAGTTTAAGTCTTAAACTTATAAGTTTACTTTCTGAAATAACTAAGGTGTTTGCTAGAGTTTTCCTATCTTCCCCTCCCACCCCTAAGTGTAGAATTATTCAAGAATAGCATAAGGCCCTGCAGAGTTCGGTTAATAGAATTTACAGCAGGCAAGTCAGACAAAGACCAAATTTCATGGAAAAACTTCTGAAGCAAAGTTGTTGGAAATTTAAATTAGATTTGAGTGTGACAGATCGACTACTGAGCAATGCTATATAGTGCCTCACTGTTAAATCCTACAGGAATTGGTCTAGAATTTATAGTGTTGTTTTTTTCTGTTGCAGTGGGGTACTGATTTTGCGTTTTGAGTCCAAGTATATACATCTTCCAGATGTAATCATTTTACCCAAGTAAATGAAAATATGGCTGTATCAAGGACTCAAAGCTATTACATTGAGAACATGTCTAGCAGCAGTTTGGTGTTCTGTCAAGAATATTCTAGCAGCTGTATTCTAGGAGTCTTTGGAGAAACTCCTGCTTCAGAAAAGGATAGTTTTAAGAATCAAGGAGAAAGCACTAAGATTAAAATATTGGGAGATTGCCCTAGCTGGTTTGGCTCAGTGGATAGGGAAGGGTCCCGGGTTCCATTCTGGTCAAGGGCATGTACCTCAGTTGCAGGCTTGATCCCTGGCCCTGCTTGGGGCCCATGTGGGAGGCAATCAATCAATGTGCCTCTCTCACATCGATGTTTCTGTCTCTCCCCCTTTCTTCCACTCACTCTAAAAATAAAAAAAATCAGTAGAAAAATATCCTCAGGTGAGAATTAGCAAAAAAATAATCATAACAAAATATTAGGAGATTTAGATGTGTATTTATATTTATAAATACAAATACAGTATATATATATATATATATATATATATATATATATATATACATATATATTTCATAAAGTGAGCTGGATATACAAATATTTTTTATTACAGTGATGCCATGCCTGGCATGTGTTATAGGATGTGATGTGAGATGTTAATGCTAATAAGATACAGGGTGGGGCAAAAGTAGGTTTACAGGTGTTTGTATGGAAAATAATACCATAATTAATAAATCTATATATATAAAAGGCTAAGCGACCAGCCAGTAGATGTGATGCACACTGACCACCAAGGGGCAGACACTCAATGCAGGAACTGCAGAGTGACAGCAACTTTGCAGAGTGCCCTCTGGCACTCCAGGACCCCTTGGGGGATGTCAGACTGCAGGTTTCGGCCCAATCCCCACAGGCCAGGTGAGGGACCCCACCTGCTAGAAGGACCCCATTCACTCCACAGATGCCCTTCGAGCCCCAGCACCACCCCAGGTGCAGGCGTCTGGAGAGGGACCATGAGAGGTTGGTTCCAGGGGGTGTCCGGCCCTTCTTGCCCAGTCCCACCCAGCCACCACCTTCTAATTATTTCACTTTCAATGTGCACGAATCTGTGCACCAGGCCTCTAGTAATAATATAAGAACAAATTCTGTGTTTTGTGTATTCACTACTGTAGACCTACTTTGCCCCACCCTGTATTTGTTCACTATATGATCTCTGATGGGAATCAGAAATCTTTCACTGGGTATCTGTCATTTCCACCAGCTGCATTGGACATTTAGAGCTCTCATCAGCAGCCAGGATGGTTAGTGAGTCCTGTGTGCAGGCCAAGTTGAGGCCTTGGGAGCTTCTTAAATGGGTGCTATTGTACATCAGATCCTTGCCAGGGCAGGCCTTCAGTCCTTTCCAAGTCACTGGGATATACCCATACATATTTATGGAGAATTGGATAACCTCCCTCAGAAAGGGGGCTCTAGATAATGTTTAAAGACTTATTGTTTCCTTGGGGCTGTATGAACTACAGTGTCTTTCTTGTTCAACACTATATATTCACCTCTGTCCATAATGCCTTGCCCATTGTAGATACTCAGTAAATATTTGGTGAGGGAATAAATGGACTACAAATTAGGCATCTTGAGATTACGGTTCTGGTTCTCACATTTTGCCACTGTACAATTTTAACAATGGAGTTGACTTTTATTAATTGGTGATTGTACAGGCACTGTATCAAGAACTTCCTCTAAATTTCATTTGATCTTCCCCACAAACTATAAAGAATGCATTAATAGCCATATGTTAGGTAATTCTGTGGTCACAACCCCACAGTTTTAGTGGTTTCAGTCAACAGGCTTCAGCACTCTATGAGGTGACTCAGTGATCCAGGCTGCTTTAATCTCAGTATGACTCTGCCATCTCAGCCTAAGGCCGGGCAAGAGAAAGGCTGCAGCATCATTCATTGTTCAAACCTGGAGGTGACATGCCATCCATCTGTTCACATTTCATTAGTCAGAACTAGTCACATGGCACCATCTACCTGCAGGGGGGTGAGAACTGCAGAGTATGCTGGGAAGGGAAGGAAAACCAGAAATTCATGTATAATGATAATGGCTATTGTAGGTCCATTATACAGTTATCCCCGTGTTCCAGGTGATAAAACTGAGGCCAGAGTGGATAAATTACTTGTCTAAAGTTAACAGCTGATCCGTGGCAGAACAAGGCCTGGAACTTAGATTTGTTAGTTTTCCTAGCCTATACTCCACCACCATGCAATACTACCTTTATTAAGGAAATTAATTTTTGCCCTTAATGAGGGAGAGAATAATAAAAACGTCAGATTTAGGGTTTAGGAACCTGGTTTTATGGGATGGATTCCATCACTGACTCTCTTTTACAGGTAGCTAAGCCACTTCCCTGGGCTGATTTCTTCACACGGAATAATGATTACTTTAACAATAATATAAAGTAATGCATAAAACAGCACCTGGAGAGGCATAACGTGCTGTATAAAGGTATGATGGTGTTTCTACGGGCACCTGCTTTCTTTATGCATTGGTCTTATGCAGGTTTTTCCACATGTAACAAACTACAAGATTCTTACAAGAAAACAAATCCTTTATATAATCTTGGTATATTTAGTTGGTTTCCTTACACAAGAATATACTCTATGTTACAATATAAAGCTTAACTTCATTGGCCTAATTTTGTCAGCATTTGATGAGACTGAAGTGATGTTCAGTTTAAATTGATTAAAATTCTACCTTCTAATCACCCTCCCCCCCATCTTTTTATTGTATGTTTTCTAAAAACTATTCTTTTAAAAGTGAGTATTTCCAAAGAACATTTCTAGATAAGGTAAATGGATATGTCACTGTAAATTCAGGAACTCTTTTGATACTTTGCCATCTGTTTATGGCGACGTGGAGCGGGTAAGAGCAGTTACACTTTGTCTGTGGCCTAATTGAGAAAAGCAGCTCTGCCCTGGCCGGGTATTTCAGTTGGTTAGTGTCCTGCTGCACCAAGGTTGCAGGCTCCACCCCTGGTCAGGGCACACAGATGGAACAACCAGTGAATGCATAAATAAGTGGAACAACACATTGATGTTTCCCTCCCTCTCTTTCGCTTTCCCTGCTTCACTTTCTCTCTCCCTCCCTTCTACTCTCTCTAAATCAATGAAGAAAAAACAAAAGCAGCGCAGATGGTGTGACTCAGTGGTTGAGTGTCAACCCATGAACCTGAAGGTTGCTGGTTTGGTTCCTGGTCAGGGCACATGCCCAGGTTGTCAATCGATCCCTGGTAGGGGGCATGTAGGAGGCAGCAGATCAATGATGTTTCTCTCTCATCGATGTTTCTATCTCTCTGTCCATCCCCCTTCCTCTCTCTCTAAAAATCAATAAATACATATTAAAAACCAAAAGCAGCCCTCTTCCTTTGCAGGTGTGGGAAGAGAGGGAAACTTTTTTGTCAAAATGTGTTAAATTACTTGACCCGGTTTCCTGTCTCCCAAAACTTGGGGTAATGTTGTAGTTCTCAGTATTGCCTCCTGTTGTGAGTAGCTCCCAAGCTTGGTGTTTTCTGTTTTTTTTTATGCATCTCTCCTGGCATGGCCAACTATGCCAGGCCATGTAGGCACTGGGGAGACCCTGATTTTACGTCGGGCCTGCCCCACATTGCTTCAGATGGGATTAATAGGGTTTTGCAGCTCTTTGACTTCTTCCTGGCAGTGGTTCATAGTGCAGTGAGTAATCAGATTAGAAAAGAAAAAGGTTTCTGTGGAAATTTGGGGGCAAAATTTCCATTAATTAAAAAGAAAAAATAGCCAGCATATTTTTCTCAGACCCCATCTTATGGCCATGTTTATCCCTCATTGTTTAAATATAACCCTTCTTAACCTAGGGGCAAGCATGCTATGCCTTTCTCCTCCTCTCCCGTCTGGACATAAAGCCTGTTATTGTTGACTGTTCTGCAGTTGGATCACTTGGAAATGAGATTTCATTTGAGTAGAATGTTTTCCTTTCAGGATAACGGGCCTCTTTAATTTTGTACTCGTAGAGGGCCTAGCAAAACATTTACATTTACTCCTGATTTTCCCTCTTCAGAGTCCTTAAGAGACAGGGAGGATTCATTAGCAAATAGATCATCGTGACACATCCAGTTATTGGTGAGCCATAAACGATCAGAAAAAGAACACAGAAGGTAGACGTTTAGAGCATTAAAAGCCTTTGGCAAATGATATATGTGGTGGTTTTAACCGACCTTGGAAGTTATGTAAGCCTTGGTGTGTGCTTTTATATCAGAATGTGGTCTATGAAAACGACGATCATCTGTTGAATTTACAAAATATCTCCGTAGAGGCCGAGTTCAGCTGGTCCAAGGTGGTGAGCAGTGAATTGAGGCTGGATTTCTTAGCTTTGGGAAGTGACCGCTCAGTGGCCTGCCTTCCTATTCCTGTTCTTTCAGCCCTTTTACATAATTACTTCTTGCAAAAACCTCCTGAAAGTGTTTAAAATTCCAGGTGAGTCAGTCTTTTGTGTATCTCGGTTTCATTCAATTATAATACATTTCAAGTACCTCTTTCCCCTTTCTCCTTTGTTTTTCCTATTGTTCCCTTTCCAGTTCCTCCAGTTTCTTTTACTTTGGGACAACCTTTTTGATGCTGCTGAGAACCTACTTAATTAGACAGAGCCCAGTGAGATTAAAAGTCTTACAGGGCAGAAAGAAGAAGGGTGGTCCAGGGTTAGGTTGAGCCCAAAGACCAGTAGGCATTGACAGGGTGTGGCTCTCACTCCAGGCAGTTTCGTGTCCACTTCTTCCCTGAAGGTTGTCCTTGCCTGTTCCTCATGGTCTGCACTGCCTTCTGTGGCAGCAAACACAGTTGGGGCAGGGGCTGGTCAAACTCGGCCTCTCTTAGGAGCTGTCATTGGAGCTGAGACCTGAAAGGCAGAAAGGGAATTGCAGGCCTGGCGCATGTTCCAGCGTATGCTAGGGGCTGGGACACCGGAGATAAATCTTACTTAGTGCTTGGTCTCAGGGAACTGACAGTTTGGTTGTCAAGCCACTAAGCTTGATCCACTGCCAACTTCCTGCCCCCCCTGAAACTGACAGTTCCTGTAACCCATCCTCTGACTTCAGTTAAGGGAGTTATCTCTCTCAACCTGCAAGTTGGCTCCAGATAACCTCACAGGGAGCTGTTTCACCAATTCCTGCAGCCAGTTTCCGCGACTGTCTTTAAGAGGCACCTGTTCTCGTTTGTTAAAAAGTACCAACAAAAAACTGGTCAGGTGAATTTGGAGTAAACTCTCACAACATGGGTCTAATGCTTAGGCTGCAGTTTTCTCTGTCAGATGAAAACGACACTCAGAAGTCAGTTCTACAACAGCAGTGACACACTGCTTCCCGGTTATGTGCCCTCCCTGTCTTTATTACCTTTTAAAAACTCCTTAGTTTTACAATCGGATCAGCCCCGAAGGGAAGCTGCTTCCTACATGTGCTGCATGGGACTTAATTTGCATGGAATAATATTACCAGTATCTGTAGGCTTATTTTCCCATAAATGCATGTGACCACAAAATCGTTCCGCTAACATTAAGTTTTAAATGCTTTCATTTTAAAAATCAGCCTTTGGGGGGAATAATCAAGACCTAACAGAAGGTAAAATTAGGCTTATGACATTATCATACCAAAAAAATAAAATAAAAAAAGCAGCATATTACTCTAAAGCAGAAAGAAAAACAGTAAAATAAAAATCCTACCAACTGCATATGGTAAATAAAAAAGAATGATTGCTGCTATTAAGTCTAAATACGAAAATCCCAACTCTAACTTGAGAAAACAAAGGTTTTTCTTGGAAAAGAACAGGGTGGTTTGGTTGCATATCAACTAGGAGAGAGAGAGCCTTTAAAGGCAGAACAATTTTCTTAAGACATTTAAATGAAAATAGATGACACAACGTAAGTCATTGCTTTCTTGACTGAATGATGCATTTGAAACCATTGTCCCAAGGATTCTGATTGCCTTAGGAAAGCATCCATATTCAAATGGTATAAAATGATGCATTACATAATTAGTTTTAAAAACTTTATAAAACCTATGAGGAGAGAGACATGTGCTATTTATGTTGGATAGAAAATTCTAGAAGGATGTTATGACGATCACTCTAAAGTTGTGTAAAGCACTACTGGTTGAGTATGTGGCCCCTGTGAACCTTGATGGCTGTGAATGCTGATTTTGGCCAGATGAGTTGTGTTGTTCAGGTGCATAAAACACACACACACACACACACACACACACACACACACACGCACACACACACAAAAGCCAGTTGTTTCTCTAGGGGACATATCCATACTTTTCCGAGACAAACATAGACGATAAACAAAAGTCAGCCCTTCTCTATGAAGGAACCCCAACTCTGCAAAAGTGGTGCTGATTTCAGAAGTATTTTTTTTTCTGGGATTCTGGCTTCTCTTATATACCGTTTCCAGGAACACTACCATGAAATTGGAGAAATTGTGTGAGAAGCTTTCTAAAAGGCTTGAAAGGCTGAGCAGGAAGGTGAAGAGATGAAGAGGAAAGTGGGAAGCCTTCCTAAATGCCCCACTCTGGATGCCTCTCATCTGTCCCCTTCTTCCCATCCCTTCATGAATGACCCCAGCCAACCCAGGGTGTAGAGTGAGAGATGCGCGGGGGCGGTGCTGGGAGGAGCCGGAGACAGGGGGATGCTATAGACAAGGAGTAAGCATCAGGGAGGCTGGGCTGCGCAGCAGCTTGGATTTGCCCAGGCCCTTGGCTCGAACATGCATGGCCTTGCGCAGTCCTCGCTGACCGTGGCAGGTGGCCAGCCGCAGGCCAGGCATTTTTAAACACTGTGTGCTCAGGAGAGTCCTCTTCTCCCTCTCCCTCCTTCCAGCAGCCAACCTCAGGGCACAGGGCAGTGCTGTGCAACATGAAATAAAACATATCTTATTTCCTATTGAACACAAAGGAATGCAGAAACTTAAACACAATCATGTAGACATTTCTGGTACTTAAAGTGCCTGTAATGTCCAAAGAAGGGGTTCTTACCCCGTTGCTATCTGATGACCACTACTGAGTGTCCGAGGTGTTTTCATCATTTTGTTAAATTGTGTTCTCACTTACATGACAACTGTCTTAGTCAACACATGCTACCGGAACAAATACCGTAGACTGGGAGGCTTAAACCACAGAGCAAAAACTGATTGCTTTGGCTGGGACGTCGTACTATGGTGAACAGAAGTGGTGAGAGGGGGCACCCTTTTCGTGTTCCTGATCTTGAAGGAAAAGCTTTCTACCTTCCACCATTGAGTATGGTGTTGGTTGTGTGTTTCTCATATATGACCTTTATTATGTTGAGGTATATTCCTTCTATACCCAATCTGTTGGGCATTTTTATCGTGAAAATATGTTGTATTTTGTCAAATGTTTTTTCTGCACCTTTTGAGATGAGCATGTGGTTTTCGTCTTTCATTGTATTAGTGTGGTGTATCACCTC